ATATGTAAAATGTTTATTTACAAACAGAATGCTTGTTCCTCAGTACCACAAGGAAAAATTAGCATTCAGACAAAAAGTTTTCTCAGCAAGGTAATTTTACTTTCTGCAGAAAGGGTGCTCCTTGCAGATGGAACAATGGCGGGAGCACACCTGAACAATGGAGGGAAGCAATTTTTATCCCTTACGCAGCTTGTCCTTGCTACTGTGTCCTGTCTCTGTTGGCTGGAGCCAGATGGCACAATCTAAAGTAAAACCTGACTGGCTAATAATTTAAAACTTTTCTAAATAGGTAAAAGCAATGGAAAGACAAAGGAAAAGAGGAAGTTGCTTCCGAAAGGACTTAGAAAAGTAATAATATTCCTAAATAAGGAAGGGGCATAGGCTGTGAGCTGAGACATGCCTGTGAGCATGTCCAGCACAAATATTTTGGTTAAAGTACAAGGACATTGAATGTACTTATTCCTTTATGTCTAATAACTACATAGGATAGGGCTTAACAGAGAGTTAATAGCACAAAGCAAGGAGAATAGAAGGAAGTTAGTCTTTAAAAGAAACTATTATTTCTAACACTTATGATTTATTCTTTAACAAGAAAGGAAACTCTGAAGAAGAAAATTTCTACTTTCTACACCCAGTTATCCTACTCACCCCACACATTCCAAGCTCAAGGTGGGAACCAGCTGGGCCTGCTCTCTGCTAGGCTTTCCTGACAAAGTAGGGAAACCAGACAGACATGATGGAAGAAGTATTACAGTTTCATGAAATAGCTTCTTCTAGAAGGCAAGAGACAGCTTTGCTGTGGCTCCATGTTTGAAATAGGCTATATAAAGTTATACTTTTTTCTTTTTTTTTCGAGACTGAGTCTTGCTCTGTCACCCAGGTTAGGGTACAGTGGCGCACAATCTTGGCTCACTGCAATCTCCACCCCCTGGGTTCCAGCAATTCTACTGCCTCAGCCTCCCTAGTATCTGGGATTACAGGCGCCCGCCACCACATCCGGTTAATTTTTGTATTTTTAGTAGAGACGGGGTTTTGTCATTTTGGCCAGGCTAGTCTTGAACTCCTTACCTCAAGTGATCCGCCTGCCTCGGCCTCCCAAAGTGCAGAGATTACAGGCATGATCCACTGCGCCCTGCCAAAGCCATAATTATTTTAAACAGAGGCTTTCACGGGACTTATAAAGCGCACCTTGTTCTTTTCGGCTCATTCCCCCTTCCCACTAACCCTTTCACTTCACTGACTGGATGAACTGTGCAGAGGGCACAGTTAAGGGCTGTGAAAATTCAAGAATAAAGAAAAGTCCTGCCTTCACGCAGCTCGCACTGTAAGGAGGTTTAATCAGGGATGATAATTCAAAATAACTCGCTTTTAATCACCAGTACAGATGGTGTCAGTAAGCCCGCCTGGGGCGCTGCTTCCCAATCCCCGCCCCGGCTTGCGCCCAGCAGCCGACCGGAGGCGTGGCCCGAGGGCAGGCGCCAGGGCGGAAGGCGGGGCCGTTCTAATTCCCTGGGGGTAGCTAATGGCTATGCCTGGAGGCGAAGCTTTTCAAAATGACTAACGTGGAAAACCGCCAATGACAATGGAATCTGGCTGAACTGTGGGGAGCAGGAGTCTTAAGCGTTCGCGTGTTGTTGGGGCAGAAGGGGCTCAAGAAGGGGATGCTCAGGGCAATAGCTTTTTAACGAATCTGTAAGAAAATGTTCCAATATTTTAATAGCTAGTACAGTCATACTGGTGCATACAGTCCAGAATGATAGATACTGGTCCAGATACAGTGGCTATCTGTTCTTTTGCCTGCCAGGAGCAGTTTCTCAGAAGAAATGTTTTTTCCATGTATATAATCATGTAATTCAAACAGGAGCTGCCGTTTACTTGCAGACCTCTTAAGTGACAGTGTTTGGTCTGGGGGTAGGTACGGGTCACAGGTTGCTGGGACTATTCTTTCTTTATTCGTCCTCCTTAGCTCAGTGTCTGGAATAGAATTAGGCACTCGATAGAATTGTTTAAGAATGAGTGGACACAAACCTTTAACTATTGCTTCATTTGATCTCACTTCCAAATTTCTGCAACTGTGTGACTGCTGTAATGGAAAGTCTTATCCTGTTTAGGCAGCTTAATATAAGTTGATTTAGATATGTGCATTTCACGATTTCTTTGATAAGTTTCAAGAATTTGCTGGCAGCTGTAACAATGACATTCAAGGCTTATGTTTACTTTTTTTTTCTTAGTACAACGTTTACAAACACCAAGAATTTTATCCATTTCACAGGTGGTTGTCAGATTTAGGGCAAAGGACATACGTGGGCTTTATAAATTTTAAAGTTCGGTACAAATGTTTGCTGATACTCCTGTGTAATTAAATGTAAAATAGTTGAGAACCTTCCATGTACTTACCGATCACAGTGTTAACCATTATTACACAGTACTATATTGCTCCAAGAATCAAAGGGCAGCAGCTCAAAGACAACACTTAGATGTGAATGAGATGAAGCTGATCAAGTCAGAAGGAAAAGGAACTCAGATGCCAGAGTTCCCAAGGTCTGAATAGTGGGCAGTTTCAGAGACAACTCTAGTTTTCTCCTGATGGCTGAAATTATTAGCGGCCTAAGATCACTATCCTTTTCCTGGAATCAATTGTGTTTGAAGGGTGCCAGAGTCATCTAGTGTGTTTAGAAAGGATAAAAGTAAGAGGTGTGAGTATGAATGTTGTTGTTCCAAGAAATAATTGCTCCAAGGTGACTCCATGCTTTTATTAGTTTTTTGGGGTGTGTGTGTGTGTGTGTGTGTGTGTGAGTGAGTGTTTTGGTTGTAAGTAACAAACTAACTCAAAGTAGCCTAAGCAGGTAAAAGAGGGAATTTGTTATAAAGAAGCAATAGTGTCTGAATGGCAAGAATGTGTATGGGCCTTGGGAAGAGCCTAGAGTCAGGAACTGAAAAAAGATTTGGATTCTTACTCCGAATTTGCTTCTCGGCACACACCTACTACATTCTTCTCTCTCTGCTTCTCTAATCAACATGGCAGTCTGTATCTTTAGTTAAAATATTTGTATCATTAATTCCCCATTACTCAAATGACCATCATTTGAGGCTGTGGAGAAGGCATGTCCTTGTTGAGTGGGAGAAAGGGAAATTAGAACAACTTATATCTATGGGCTATTTTAAATGTAAGGTACTATGATTCTACTAACTTAAACTCCCATATACACAAGGATTCACTTCCATTCCACTTTCTATCTCTGTTAATAGTACAATTGTATATATATTTTTTTGGTCTTATTTATTCTAGTCCTTCATCTTTAATGTGGAGTCAATCACTAGGTCTTACTGGGTTTTGGTCTCAAAAGTCTATCGTTAAATAATACTAGTTTTCTTAGTAGCATAATTCACAATTGCAAAGATGTGGAACCAACCTAAGTGCCCATCAACTAAAGCGCGGATAAAGAAAATGTGATACACACACCATGGAATACTACCCAGCCATAAAAAAGAATGAAATAATGTCTTTGCAGTAACTTGGATGGAGCTGGAGGCCATTATGCTAAGTGAAGTAACTGAGGAGTGGAAAACCAAAAATCGTATGTTCTCACTTAAGTGGGAGCTAAGCTTTGAGTACACAAAGGTATACAGAGTGATATAATGGACTTTAGAGACTTAGAAGGGGGAGGGTGTGAAGGGACCTAGGGATAAAAAACTACTTTTTAAGTATAATGTACACAACTCGGGTGATGGGTGCACTAAAATCTCAGCATTCACCACTATATAATTCATCCATGTAACAAAAACCCACTTGTAACCCAAAAGCTCTTGAAATAAAAATCTTTTTAATAAAGAAAATGCCACACAAAAAGAATATTAGTTTTCTTCTAATGCTGAAGGCCAATATAAAAGGTAACAAAAGTCTGAGCTCTTTAGTTAATGGGTACAAGTTAAGACAGAATCACATCAGGATTTGAAGTTGAACCTGAGCTCAAATCCTATTCCCATCACTGTGAGCTCTCTGAGGCTTTCCTCTCAACTACAAACTGGAGATACAATACTAAACAAGCTTACTGGGTTGTTTAATTAATATCTAGAATATACTTAACAGTGTTTCTATTAATGTGAGAACTAACTGTAAGCACTTAGTAAAGAGTAGTCATTATTAAGTAATGATAAATAAAAGCATTTGTATGATTCTTGTTTTAGCTTATGAAACCCTTGCACCTAGATTTTCTCATCTAATATTCATTAAAACCCTGAAAGGCCGATAATATCCCCACTGTAGAGATGGGGACACCAAAGAACAAAGAGATGGGAACACCTAGATATATCAGAGATCCTAGCTTTTTTTTTTTTTTTCTCTGATACCCGGGTTGGAGTGCAGTGGGGCAACCTCGGCTCACTGCAAGCTCCGCCTCCCGGATTTACCCCATTCAACTGCCTCAGCCTCCCGAGTAGCTGGGACCACAGATGCCCGCCACCGCGCCCGACTAATTTTTTGTATTTTTAGTACAGACGGGGTTTCATTCTGTTAGCCAGGATGGTCTTGATCTCCTGACCTCCTGATCTGCCCGCCTCGGCCTCCCAAAGTGCTGGGATTACAGGCGTGAGCCACCGCGCCCGGCCTGATCCTAGCTTTTTGTAGGCTGGGGGACTGACCTCGGTGGTAAAAGATGTCCTGTACTTGTTCATTTATTCACACATACAACAAATATTTATTGACTTCTTACCATAAACTATTTAAGGGGCCTGGTGGGGATGCCGCATAAACAAACAAGCAAAAATAGACAAAAATCTTTGTCCAGAAATACATAAATATAGAAAATTTTATAGAATATATAACATAGAAAATAGAAAAAAATATGAAAATAGCCTAATTTTCAGGGTTTTCCTTTTTTTACATACCTTTCATGGTTAACGGTTAATGGTTAATGGGGAGTACCCATTAACTCCCACCCTCCTTCCCAGCTCTCTCCCAAGACTTAGTTTCAGGAACTAGAAAATTCTGATTCTGCTTGGGTGCAGTGCCCCTCAAAGGGCGAGGCTTATTCGAAGCCCCAAATTCAGAAAAGCCGGCCAGACCTTGGAAGTTTAAGAAGGTGGAAGGCAGATCGCGGAACCAGTGTTCTGATGGTTGTGGTTCTCTGAGGGAAGCCAATTCTGGGGACCGGTAGTGGAAAGCTCTTGCGCTGTTTCCGGCCACCTCAGCGGGAAGCGGAGACGCAAGCAGCTGGATCTCCGGTAACTGAGACATAGGGAATAACTGTTGTCGCGGCGGAGGAAGTGAGGACGACACCAACGGCCATCCGGACCAGTGTTGGATCCCTGTAATTTGTGAAGATGGTGTTGCTAACAATGATCGCCCGAGTGGCGGACGGGCTCCCGCTGGCCGCCTCGATGCAGGAGGACGAACAGGTGAGCTGCTTACTAGATCCCCGCGACCCCAAGTCTGCCAGCGCGCTTTGCCCTCAGCATCGGATTCCTTCCTAGGGCCGAGAGACCTCTGTGACTTCTCGGGCACTCCCGACCTCTCTGAAGTGCTGTTTTATCTTCTGGTGTGGGAGAGACTACCGGTAAGAGGAATCTTTCCTGAAGGAGGAGTTCAGATTTTTGTCTTACCTGTTTCTCTTTAGAAAAACGCTCTGGAGAAGTGATAGCTTTGGTTGATTGTGATCACCCAGTGTTCTTTGACTCTTTAGGGACTGTTAAAAATCAGGATTTCTAATTTTCTGCTGCTAATAGGACTGCTGACGGATAAATCCTGGGACAAATCAGCCAAGTTCTTCAACTCTATAACGTAGCACCTGATCCTTGACCTAGCTTGCTGACATCTTTTGAAAGTGGGTGAGGTAATATTGCCACATAAAAGCACTTGTTAAAGTTCAGTACAGCACATTCTTTCAGGATTATTCCCAGTTCCCACCTTCTCCAATACGCCGTACCACATTCCTGCAATACATTGTAACTTATTTTTTTGTCTTTCAATAACTTGAGTTTCCTAGCGGGCAAACGACGGATCTTAATCATCTCTGTGTTATTCATACCTTTTACAATGGCTGCTTTATGCTAGTAGGTGCTCAAAAATATATTGAATTGATTAAAAACAGCAATAACTCCAGGCGTCTGAAAAGAAAGCTGTTTTGTGTTTTAGAATCACAGTGGAAATTTCTGAAGACAAATTTCTGGAGCAAGCTTGGGAGGTTCTGAAGACAAAACTGACAATGGAATTTATATAATTTGTTTAAAGTGATCAATTTTATTTTACCTTTTCATACAGTCTAAGTAGTGTTTTAAAACCTTGAGCCTTAAAAAAAGATGAGATATAGAAAAAATAGGTTGCACATTTCTTCTATTGGACTTTTCATTCATATATTAATGCAAAAAAAATTTTACTGAGCACATCAAATGTACCAGGCATAGTGTTAATGCAGGGGGTTAGAGTACACAGTCTCTACCTTTGTGGAGCTTACAGTCTAGTGGAAAAATCAGATAACCAATATACTATTAAAATGTAGTTTAACTGCTAAGGAGAAGGAAGAGAGTTTTGTCGAACATGGAAAATGTATCTAAGTTGGTTTTAGGAAATCAGGAAAGTCTTCCCAGAAGGTATGACATTAAGGTAACAGTAGGATCCAGTAGTAAGGAACTATTCTCTTTAGTTATATGCCTTTTTAGGTTTGATTTGGAAATGTATTTACTTTCACTTTTAGAAGAGTGGTGATACAGATAATCAAGTTGCAGGTCATGCTAAGTGAAATATATTCTATTCATTTCATAAAAACAAAGTCTAATCTTTGAAATAAACTGTGAACAATTTAACATACCCTGATTTGCTAATGTGAAATGTTTTTCAGGAATATTCTAGGACCATCCTGCAGAAGGAATGTAATTGTTCCAGTGAACCTAGGAATATGATTTGAACAAAGTAGATAGTGTAGGGAAATATCCTTGAAGGATGTGTAGTTTGACTAAAAAATAGTTTTCCTATAGTGGGTGGGTGTGTGTTGGGAGTAGCAGGGATGGAATCTGGTCAATTTTTAAACTATGGCATTGAATTCCAGTGTGGGCAAAGAATACAAAGTGAACTGGAAAGTCTACTTAATATTAGTGGCCCCTACTCTCTAACGTGATACTTTTTGAAAAATTAATTGATTTATTGTTTTTTAATTCTAAATTTGGTATTGATTTCATATTGGTTTATCAAGATGGATTGCTTTGTTTAATTGACAAGGAAAGAAATTTTACACACAAATATTTTTGTGATTGTAGTGCCATAATATTTTCCTTTAGGAGTTTTGACTTTGAATAATAAAGTTTGCCTAAACTTTTAATGTCTGTAAAAATCTGAATCTTAGAGTTAATTTACTATTTTAATAGTATACATAACATTTATAAAAGTGCCTACTACATACCAAACACTGTGCTAAGCCTATAAAGTACATTTTTAAATTTAATCCTCATACGACCATATTAGAATAGGTACTATTAAAATCTCCAATTATAGATAAGGAAGCTCTGAGGTTGAGAGAGGATAGATCGCTTGCCTAAATTCACACAGCTAATAAGTGGCATAATGAAATTTTTCACCAGGGTTTGTCACCTTGGCACTGTTGACATTTGGGGATAGATAATTCTTTGTTCCTGGGAACTGTCCTGTATATTGTGTGGGAGGTCCAGCAATATCCCTGGCCTCTACCCTCTAGATGCCAGTAGTACCACCACCCTTCCCCACTTCGTTTGTTGGTGTGGCAACAAAAATATTTCTAGACATTGCTAAATGCCCCATGGGGGCAAAATCACCCCGACTTGAGACCCAGTGATTTTTATTAAGTATTGTCTGAGTCGACTAGAGCTTTAGTGCCTAACCACTGTACTTTACTGCCTTGTTCAAAGGCCTTTTCATGATGCCTTAACCTCTTAGAAGTCCAGGAATAACTTTTTAATAAACAGGTATCTCAACCAGTTTCATATTTAAGCACCTTAATTGTCCAGGCCAAATAATTCAATGTATCTTCATTTTTGTTTGTTTTTGTTTTCTTATCAGTGTACTTTCAATATTTACACTGATAATAGATATCATATTTTAGGTATTTACTGGGTGCCTGTACAACCTGCCGTATTACCGAAGATGGACAGTTATTCAGATAATACAATAGAGAGTAAAATTTACAAAATAATATAGACAGAGTATTTTATACAGGGTGTTTCCTCTGGGTTTAACTGAAAATTTAGACTTAGGGCAGGAAGAGAGATGAGCTTTTCTTCTCAAATGTGGACTCCCTAACTGATATCCTATTTATCTTTTTTCTTCATTCCTTTTATGGTATGTTTCTCCTTTTAGGATTTTTGCAATTTCTTTATCTACCTTTCTGGTCTGCCTCAAAATTATTGTATTTTCTTTCATTTTCCTCTGGCATTGTGAAGGGCAGTCCAGACTTGAAGAAAGTGTCAGATCTAACCAAATAGGCAGCAGGAAGCTCTAGGAAAGCAGATAACATGTTGTACAGTTAAATAGTCTCACGCTCCGAATCACTGAGGGTTGATTAATCCACTTACTGTAATTGCTTTTAGAGGAAAGTAGTTGATTCTTGGTGCTGCTGGTCTTGGACCAGCTGAGTTCAGTGGGTATTTAAAAATGATAAGAGCTATGAAGGCAAAAGTTATTATTTGATACAACTAGTTGTTCAGCAGTCCCAGGTGACAGCACCAAAAAGTATTGTGGTTGTGTGTCAAGTTGCTACCTTCTACCTTTTGTAATATATAGATCCAGATCCTAAATTTGCTATTGGATAACCTCAAATTTGTTTCACAGTTTTTCCAATTATTCCGATCCACTGCATTATTGGATTACTAATAGATATCTTATAATTATATCATATACAAATTTCATTAATCTTTTCTAGATGAAGTAGAAAACAGAATGAGGACATCTAAATATTTTTAGGTGGACTGGCTAACTGTTGGCCCTTTGTGACTTTGATCTTGAAAGCAAACTAAAGGTCAGTATGTAAAACAGTGGTTATGTTGTTTTGTGAGATCTAGATCAGAGCTGCCCCATGGTTTCTTGAGCATTTCCAATGAATTAGAATTACATAGTAAGACTTCACCTAAAAGTTGGATCTACTATTGAAACAATTTCAGTTATAGAGTTAGGATAGCATAATGCTTAGGAGTAGGGGGTCCAGGGCCAGATTGCCTGCTTTCAGATCCTAGTTCCTCCCTTTTTAGCTTAGAGTCTAAAAAGTTTGACTTCTCAAGTAAAAAATTGGCCTAATAATTCTAATCACCTCATGAAGATTAAACGAGTTAAATAATGTAAAGTGTTCAGAACAGTGCCTGGCAGAAAGTGAACACTTAATAATTTCATATGATCATTTCTGAAGAATCTTGTCTAATTCCATCTTGCCTTTCTTTTTTTTTTTTTTTTTGAGATGGAGTCTCACTCTGTTTCCCAGGCTGGAGTATAGTGGTGGAATATTGGCTTACTGCAACCTCCGCTCCCCAGGTTTAAATGATTTTCCTGCCTCAGCATCCTGAGTAGCTGGGATTACAGGCGCCTGCCACCACACCTGGCTAATTTTTGTATTTTTGGTTGAGACGGTGTTTCAGCATCTTGGCCAGGCTGGGCTTGAGCTCCTGACCTCGTGATCCACCTGCCTTGGCCTCCCAAAGTACTGGGATTACAGGCATGATCCCCCATACCTGGCCTCATCTTGCCTTTCTTAAAAGTTCACAGATCAGAATTGCATATAATCAATACACTGGATGCAAATACATAATGAATGAATGATTTTTCACATTACAAAATTAATTTGTGCATATTAGAGAAAGGTCAGTAAATACATAAAAGCAAAATGACCAAGATGTTAACAGTGTGTATTAGCTATAATCTGTACTTGAATTATATCCATTTTGGTGGATGACCTTAAACATATGTATGTGTATATAACATTAAATAATAGATAATATCGTAAGACTGTTTCACCTAATTTTTTCCACTTAACAGTGTTTAATGAATATTTTCTCATATCATTAAACTCTGTACATCATTGTTTTAATGGCTGCATAGTATTCCATTATATGAATATGCCAGAAAGAGTACTGTTTAACCAAGAAGATTGTGCTAGCATTGTGTTCTCAAGGATGGTAATGCTAACTGAACCAGCACGGTAAGATGTTGGTTGGCATACCATAATCCCTATAAGTGCATCCCCAGTGTTGTATATTGGCAGTCTTTACATTGCTGTTTGCAAATTCCTGAAATTGTAGAATGCTTTTGGCCAGTTTCTTATTAGGTGATACAGTTGTTAGTCTTTCTCTCAGGTTACAGTAATGTTTACAGTGCCTCTTGTAAAGTCAAAGGATTTGTACCATTCTGAGTGACAATTTTTTCCATGTTTCTTCAACTAGTCCTTTTAAGCAAAGAACTTATATTTAACACCGGTGGTTGCAGTTATGTAAAAAATACTGATGTCACAGCCCCACCTCCAAGATGCTGACTTAATTGGTTTGGTGGTAGAGACTGGGCATAAGTAGTTTTATTTTTGAGATTCCCCAAGTGATTCTATTGTGAAGCCAAGGTTGAAAATCACAGATCTATGTTGATATTCTTTCTTGGCACTTTAGTAGCATTCCCAACATTATTTGCATCCCTTTTATCTACTCTTGTGGGTTCAGATCTCTTCAGAATGGCACTGGGGAAACAAAAAGATTGGTAAGTACCATTCAAATTTAGGAAAATAGAATATTGTGCACTAGTTCTTATTGGCTAAAAGTATATGACAGTATTCACTCTTATTGGCTGACCATATAAGTAGTACTGTTTAATATGATAATTTCAATATAATTATTATAAAGTAGTTTAATATATAAAACTGTACATATATACATACAGACATACATACGTTAATATAGAACTATTTCTCAAATACGTAACAAATATATGTCAATAAAACAAATCATTGCCGTAACAGTGGTATTAAGCTAAATCTACAAACTATATACCTCAACTGGACTCTGCCTATCTCCCCTGGTTCACTTCATGCTTATTCACCTTCTTACTCATATTGAAATTTCCAGTTCACCATTTTTATATATAGCTTAGAATCTTATTATCCTGTAATTGTACATTTGTTGATCTGCCGCTTTATCATTTTATTATTGCTTCCTTGTTTTTACTATCAACTTATTAGTATACTATCTACAATTTTAAGATATCACTTTGTACTTTATCAAAGTTAGAGCTCAGATCCTGGGAGACCCTAGCATAAATACTTTTCTACTTAAATATTTAGTTATTAAACATCTGCCAAAGGGAGGCTATTCTTTCTATGTAAAATAAATAATTCCAAAATAGAATTATGTCTTTGCGTCACATGGCAGTGTCTTAGTCTGGGTTACTATAACAAAATACCATAAACCGGGTGGCTTGTAAACAACAGAAATTGATTTTTCTAGTTCTGCAAGGTGAAGATCAAGCACCAGCAGATTTGGTGACTATTGAGGGCCTATTCCTGGTTCATAGATGTCACCTTCTGTCTGTTTCCTCACATAGTAGATGGAGCAAGCTAGCCCTCTGGGGTCTCTTTTATAAAGGTACTAATCGCATTCTGGAGGGCTCTACCCTCATGACTTAATCCCCTCCCAAAGGTCCCACTTATTCATACCATCACTTTGGGGGGTTAGGATTTCAACATGAATTTTGTGGGGGATACCAGCAAACATTCAGACTATAACTGGATAGCTGGCAGAAAGCTCCCCTTCCCCACATGTGGATGGATGAACAATGTCTATTTGCTTCCCATTCTTCAGGCATTTCCTTTCCCTGTTGGATCTAGTAGATTGGTGATGCATGATTGTCTTCTTTTGAAATGACACTGCTATTTTTCCAATAGATTTGCCCCTTTTTTTAAAAGAATAATTGTAAAATCAGTTAGAAATTGTTCAGGAAAATATTACCAGTAATTATAACATCTGAATGCTGTTATTTTCATTTTTGTCTGCATATATCCCTCGATATTCAGACTTTCGCTGTCCAAACTTGGGAACCAAATAGATTTATTCAGTAAAGAATATCTGACATCCTAGTCTTTGTGTCTACTCTTGGTCATTTTTACCTAATTGCAGTCAAAGTGTTCATAATAATTTGCAGTTATGAGTACACACATTTAGTTTTGTTTAAATGCTCAAAACTGTAACACTTGTGGAAGGTTCTCCTGGATATTCCAACATAAAAATGAAATTCATCAATCTTGTTTCTGGGATTTCCCCTGAATATAGCACATGCTGTATGGTTCTGTGCCAGTAACTGCAAATGAAATGGGTTAGGAGGAGAGTACTGTCCTAACAGTGGAAAGAATACTGGATTGAAAGTTAAGAGTGCGCTAAGTGTATTTGAGGTATATGCTTTTGCTTCTTAGCAGATAACAAATGCAGTCATCTTGAAGAAGTAGGGGTTAGGTCTTCCTCTGTACTCTGAAAGTAGGTTGTCTTTCTTTCATTAAAATGAATCTTACTTACCTGTAAATGAAGGACCTCATTCAGAGTGTCCTCATAATATGATGTTTCTCACTAATTGATACAGCTTTTTGTGGAAAATTCTTAAATGAAGGTGTCTTCTTTCAGTCTGGCCGGGACCTTCAACAGTATCAGAGTCAGGCTAAGCAACTCTTTCGGAAGTTGAATGAACAGTCCCCTACCAGATGTACCTTGGAAGCAGGAGCCATGACTTTTCAGTGAGTATAATCTTGATTTCTTTATGATCATTTAAGTGTGAAATACAGTAACAGAATGCCTGATAAAAATAATAATTTTTTAAAAGTAAAGATTACTTTAAAACGTAGTCTTTTGGGAGAAGCAACTTCTCTGGCTCTAATTCTACAAAACGGACATCTTGTTTGTTTTTTTCAACATGTTTACAGTAATTTAACCTGTTAACATGTGTCTAATGAATGCTGTGCCCATCATGCAATAATAGATAACTTCTTGCTTTAGGACTGTCTTGGAGCCAGATATGTGTGGGTTAGTCCCCTTGCTCAAACATTTCCTAACAGTGTAACTTTGAGCAGCTCACATAACTTCTCTCAGCCTCAGTTTCCTCTATAAAGTAGTGAAAATAAACATAGGAGGTGTGAGAGGTTTGTGGGGGAATCCACATGTATTATTTAACATCTTGTCTGACAGACATGGGAAGAGTCAATAAATATTAGTTACTATTATTTTGAAAAAAGAAAATTATAGAAGAGAAGAGCATTTTAATCAGTGGTTATAGACAATGATATAGCTGATAAAGGACTCAAAGGAACATTATTGGATTTTAAATTGTCTACAAATAATTGGTATTTAATGTTTAATACATGCCAGGTTTGAAGCTGACAAAATAAGAAGGATTAAAAAGGAAAAGAGTATGGGAGCATCAGAGGAAAATAAAAACGGATTAGCTAAATAATCTTTACTATTTTAAGGACTTAGATAGTAAGGTAACTTAGGCCAGGGAGGAAGCTGCTATGTTTACTTTTAAAAACAAAAATTACCTACAAAAGACAAGTAAAAAGTACATCAAAACAAAAATAAAACCCTAGGCAATTGGCAAAGAAAATGTTGGACATTATGTTTTATAAAGTATTAATTTTTATAATATCTGAAATATTTTCTAGAACTCTTAATTTTTAACACCCAAAATATAGTCACTTAATATCTAGTGTCCTCCTTTTCACCATGGTTTAGCGAACAAAGACCTAAGAAAGTTCTCATGGAATTGAGAGAGATTTTCTTCTGCCTGATTCCTTTAGACATTCATAATCTCATAACATCCTTTATTTCCATGCAAGAGCTATTAAGGGTTTATTCTTTGTCAGCCCTTATATTGAGTCCTGCATTTAATGTCCCTACCTTTTTTGTTTGTTTGTTTGTTTGTTTGAGACGGAGTCTCGCTCTGTCGCCCAGGCTGGAGTGCAATAGTGCAATCTCAGCTCACTGCAAGCTCCGCCTCCCGGGTTCACGCCATTCTCCTGCCTCAGCCTCCCGAGTAGCTGGGACTACAGGCGCCCGGCCGGTTTTTTGTATTTTTAGTAGAGACGGGGCCGTGGTCTTGATCTCCTGACCTTGTGATCCTCCCGCCTCGGCCTCCCAAAGTGCTGGGATTACAGGCGTGAGCCGCCACGCCCGGCATGTCCCTATCTTTTAACGCTGTTCTCTTAGTATAGAGAGAGATACACGCAAACAAGTATACTATAATGTCTTAAATGAAAAGGTGCTGTAAATTAGATTTAAATGAAATGTTTTGGGAACAGAGAGAAGGAAGGAACAAATTCCCATTTGTTGGGGTAAGTTCGAAGAAACGGGACAGAGGAGGGGAGTATATATAAAGAAGTTTCACAAAAAAAATAATGGTAGAATTGAACATATGAAAATGAACAGGATTTCTCCAGGTACATAAAAGAGCATTAATGGTTAGAAAAAACAATATAAGCAGAAGTCCACAAATATCTAAAGAACCTAGCATGTTGGAAAACAGTCCGCCATTTGGATTACTAAAATATATGATAGAATGTTGCTTACACTTGTTTTGAAAAGCTGTAAATATAATACCATGGAGTATGATTTTATTTTGTAGGTATTTTGTAGGTATTACAAACCCTTAGAGTTTGTAAGCAGGGTAATATGGCCATCTGTAGTCTCTGGGAATAAAACTGATGGTATAGAAGATGGTGTAGACTAAAAGCAAAGAGACCAGTTAATTCAGGTGCCCAAGCAAGGAATAAGACAGCTGTATTATTAACATTTTAAGGGGCCTGATAGATCATATAATAGTCTTTATCCTTTATGGAGCCCTAGGATGCCTCAGGAGCCACATAGAAAGGGCAAGGATGGGAGTATATATAATGCTTTGGGCCCCTAAACTCCTCCTTATGTTTTAAAATTTTTCCTTTTATTTTCAGTGGACATGTAATAATTACACATATTTATAGGATATGGAGTGTATTTCAATACACGTATACAATGTGTAATCAAATCAGAGTAGCATATTCATCACCTCAAATATTTATTATTTCTTTGTGTTGTGAACATTCAAAATCCCCTCTTGTAGCTTTTTGAAAATATGCAGTAAGATATAGCTAGCCATATTCACCCTACAGTTCTGCAGAACACCAGAACTCATTCTTCCTATCCAGTTGTGTTTTTTATCCATTAACTTGCCTCTGCCCATCCTTCCCTTCTCTCTACCTTTCCCCACTTCTAATACCCACAGTTCTATTCTCTACTTCCATGAGCTCAAAAGTTTTTTTTGGCTCCTACATATGAATGAGAACATGCCATATTTATCTTTCTGTGCATGACTGATTTTACTTAACGTAATGTCCTCCAGATTTATCCATGTTGCTGCTAATGATAGAAATTCATTCTGTTTTATGGCTGAATAGTATTCTATGGTGTGTGTGTGTGTGTGTGTGTGTGTATGTGTGTAAAGAACACTTTTTAAATCCATTATTCTGTTGATGGACATTTCTCTTGATTATCCATAGATACTATGAATGGTGCTGCAGTAAACATGGGGTACAGATAAGTTTTTAACAAAATGAGTTTTTTTCCTTTGGAGAAATACCCAGCAGTGGGATTGCTAGATTGTATGGTAGTTCTGTTTTTAGTTTTTTGAGAAACCTCCACACTGTTTTCCATAGTGTATAAAAGTTCTCTTTTCTCTTCATCCTCATCAGCATTTATTGACTTTTGTCTTTTTAATAGACATTTTAACTGGGGTGAAATAATATGTCATTGTGGTTTTTATTTATATTTACCTGAAGATGAGTGATGTTGAGCATTTTTTCATATACTTGGCCATTTGCATGTCTTCTTTTGAGAAATGCCGATTCTGTTCCTTGCCTACTTTTTAATTGAATTATTTTTGGTTTTCCTGTTGAGTTGTTTGAGTTCCTTGTATATTCTGGATATTAGTTCCTCATCAGATGAATGAAACTAGGTCCCTATCTCATCATATACAAAAATCAACTTAAAGTAGACTAAAGACTTAAACATAAGACTCTAAACTATAAAACTACTAGAAGAAAACATAGGGGAAATGCTTCAGGACATGAGCCTGGGCAAAGACTGTATGGCAGAGACTTCAAAGCACAGGCAACAGAAAAGAAAGTAGACAAATGGGACTGTATTAAACTAAAAGCTTCTGCACAGCAAAGGAAACAACACAGTGAAGAGACAACCTGCACAATGGGAGAAAATATTTGCAAACTCCTACTTAAACTAAAGAACTTCTGATTTTATCTGATACATACATTGGCCTTCTGAATATAAGTTTTGCTTATTATATATACATATTACATATATAAATATATATATTTGTGTGTGTGTGTGTATACTATGGCTAAAAAGAAGTTGGAAAACCACTTAGTAGCCTAACATTTTTCTAAGAGTTTCTCAGACATATAATCATATAGCCCCTTCCAGAGTGTGTGGGAACTCATTATCACAAAAGAAAGTCAGTTTCATTGTTGAAAAGTTTCAGCTGATTACAGAGTTCTCCTGGACTGGAAATTAAGGAGTGTTATTAGTCTTGTACCCAGTAAACATTGTCATTAACCTTACATTTCTATCCACAGAAATTTCTAGATCTACTGTTTTTCTTTGTGACTGGAAAGAGTTTAAATATTTGTATGCTAGTTTACCATGTAGAATCAAAGGGTGGATGGAGTCACAACTGTGAATTTTTCAAGAAAAAGTCTTAAGTATTAAGCAAAAAATAAATAACCCCATTTAAAAAATGGACAAAAGACATGAGCAGACATTTCTCAAAACATACTAGAGGCCAACAAACTAATGAAAAAGTACACATCACTAATTATTGGAGAAATGCAAATCAAAACCACAATAAGATACCATCTCACAACAGTCACAGGGCATCATTAAAAAGTCAAAAAACAACAGACGCTGGTGAGGCTGTGGAGAAAAGGGAATTGCTTATACACTGTTCGTGGGAATGTAAATTCAGCCACTGAAGAAAGCAGTTTAGAGATTTCTCAGAGAACTTAAAACAGAACTACCATTAGATCCAGCAAACCCATTAATGGGTTTATATCCAAAAGGAAACAGATCTTTCTACCAAAAATCATTCATTTGCATGTTCATTGCAGCACTATTCACAATAGCAAAGATACCAACCTAGGTACATATTAGTGGTGGATTGGATAAAGAAAATGTAGTACGTATACAGTGTGGAATACTGTGCAGTCATAAAAAGGAATGAAATCATGTCCTTTGCAGCAACATGGATGGAGCTGGAAGTCATTACCTAAGTGAATTAATGCAGGAGCAGAAAACTAAATACTGTATGTTCTCACTTATAAGTTTATAAGCTAAACATTGGGCACTCATGGACATAAATATACTGAGGACTTACTAGAAGAGGAGGGAAGTAGGGGGCAGGGGTTGAAAAACTATTGGGTACTATGCTTAGTACTTGGGTGACAGGATTGTGCATACCCCAAACCTCGGCATTATGCAATATAATATACTCAGGTAACAAACCCGCACATACACATCCTCAAGCTAAAATAAAAGTTTAAAATGTTAGTTGAAGGATTGTGTAATGGGCTGGGTGCAGTGGCTCACACCTGTAATCCCAGCACTTTGGGAGACTGAGGCAGGTGGATCGCTTGAGGTCAGGAGTTTCAGACCAGCCTTGCCAAAATGGTGAAACCCCATCTCTACTAAAAATATAAAAATTAGCTGGGTGTGGTGGTGGGTGCCTGTAATCCTAGCCGTTTGTGAAGCTGAGGCACGAGAATCGCCTGAACCGGGGAGGCGGAGGTTGCTGTAACTGAGATCATGCCACTGCACTTCAACCTGGGTAATCTGGGTGATGGAAAGAGACCCTGTCTCAAAAAAAAAAAAAAAAAAAAAAAAAAAAAAATTATAAAAAAAAAAAAAAAAAAAAAAAAAAAAAAAAGATTATCTAATGGATGAAAAAATATAATAAATATGTCTAAATACTCCTTTTAGAATATATGTCTAATAGGCCGGGCGCAGTGGCTCACGCCTGTAATCCCAGCACCTTGGGAGGCTGAGGCGAGCGGATCACGAGGTCAAGAGATCAAGACCATCCTGGCTAACACGGTGAAACCCCGTCTCTACTAAAAATACAAAAAATCAGCCAGGCGTGGTAGTGGTGGGCACCTGTAGTCCTAGCAGTAGCTGAGACAGGAGAATGGTGTGAACCCGCAGGAGGCGGAGCTTGCAGTGAGCCGAGATCACGCCACTATACTCCAGCCTGGGCGTAGTGGTGCACACCTGTAGTCCCAGCTGCTCGGGAGGCTGAGGCAGGAGAATGGCTTGAACCTGGGAGGCGGAGGTTGCAGTGAACCAAGATCGGGCCACTGCACTCCAGCTGGGGCGACAGAGCGAGACTCTGTCTCAAAAAAAACCACGAAAAACAAAAACAAAAAAAGAATATGCGTCTAATAATGGGAAGATGTTTGCTTTTTGATTCCAGGGATTTGTGATTTTAAATTGACTTTCTCATTTAGCCAGCCTTAAAGTGTTTAGGCTAGATTTTTAAAAAGTTTGCATGGTACAGAGATTCTGCTTTAACCTGTTGTCAGTACTGTTACTTTACAGACAACTTCGTCTTGCTTTTTATGTCTCACCAGCTACATTATTGAGCAGGGGGTGTGTTATTTGGTTTTATGTGAAGCTGCCTTCCCTAAGAAGTTGGCTTTTGCCTACCTAGAAGATTTGCACTCAGAATTTGATGAACAGCATGGGAAGAAGGTGCCCACTGTGTCCCGACCCTATTCCTTTATTGAATTTGGTAAGTTTTTGCCCCTCACTTCTCTCTATCAAGGGAGCAAACAGTATGGAGAAGCTGTTTGTTACACTGCTATAATATTGATACATTTTTTTCTGATGTTTACTTGTTGAAGTTTTAGCTTCTGCTCCCTTTTCCATTCCACTTCTTTTTGTCTTTTTGAGTGACTAAGGCTTCCTTCTGAAAAGTACTTTTCTCTAGTCTTTTGATCTTTCCCCCATAGAAATGGTTGCCTTTTGCCCTTTTCTGTTATTTGGTTTGATTCTTCATTAGAGTCACATGTGACAGAAACTGTGCCTAAAGATCTACTTGATTGGCATATAATGGCTGAGTTCTTTACCCCAGTCTGCAGACTCACAGTCATAATAAGGCTCATTTTTGGAGATCAGAATTGGGAAATCAGAAAGAATGGTGTTTTGTTTCTTTTAGTAGAATAAGATCCTCTAATTAAAAAACAAAACAAGACAAAGACATAGAAGATACATGGTACTCATGGTATTGGAGTATAGTATTTACTACATTCAGGAATAGTGAGCATAGGTGTCTGTATTTGTACAAGAATTATAGAAAGACTAGTCACCTCAGACCTGGTAAAGTATCTCATTGTAAGGGATCAAAGGAAATATCCTAAGTACAATAAGTACAGGAAGTGAGAACAAGTAGAATCAGGCTATATTGCTGCAATTTTTAGTTAAAAGATAAATTAGTTTTACTGTCTCAGAATTTCTGAAGTGTTTCAGGTTTGCTAGATAAATGGGTCATCTTGCTTTGGAAAAACACTGTAGTGTTTCGTAACTGTACACTGTCCAAGTGCTGTTTTATATAATGTCCAGTTTTTCAAATTTTATTTTTGTAGGCAGTAATAGTCCCGTAAACCTCTCTCAAAAATAAGACAAATGTATCAGAGTCATACAGGAAATAGATGGCACACCCAAATTAGCTTAAGGGATTATATACAAAGATATGAATAGGCTGTAGGATAATTACAAGATACAGTAACCTCGGACCAGCAGCATACTGGTTGTTATCATCCCTAGGCCTGAATATATAAGGGGAAGGAGCAGTTTCTGAAACTGAAAAGGAGAAAATTTCTAGAGAAGCCCAACTTGAGAGGAGCAGTAACTTTTGGTAGAGGGATACTTCCAGAAGAAGGATACTTGCTTCTCTGAAAGAAGCCAGGGGAATAAATACCCTGACATCACTGTCTGTTCTCCTTCTTCCCTACTGTTGGGGCTTCTTCATTGCCTGAACCTAACTGGCACAGGGCAAGGAGTCTGTTGAGGCATTTCATCCCATTCAGCTTCCCAGTGCAGAAATCAAGGTGCAGGAGGGCAGATAGGAGATCTAAAGAGGCAATGAAAGGGGTACAGCACACTTAAATTAAGATTTTTGCCAAAAGTTGAAAATATCTTTAATGGTAAGTCATTCTTCTTATAGTTTTGAGAAATACTGATATGAGCAAAAGATGGATGAGACTTCAGTTTTTATTTATTTATTTAGAGACAGAGTCTCGCTCTATCGCCCAGGCTGGAGTGCAGTGGCATGATCTCGGCTCACTGCAACCTCTGCCTCCTAGGTTCAAGTGATTCTTGTGCCTCAGCCTCCTGAATAGCTGGAACTAGAGGTGCATGCCGCCATGCCCAGCTAGCTAATTTCGGTATTTTTGGTGGAGACGGGAGTTTTGCCTTGTTGGCCGGGCTGGTCTCGAATTCCTGGCCTCAAGTGATCTACCTACCTTGGCCTCCCAAAATGCTGGGATTTACAGGTATGAGACACAGTGCCCGGCCGAGACTTCAGTTCAGTTTTATATTGGTATTTTGGAAATCTCCCTATTACATATTTGCTTTACATGAGGTTTTAGAATGGAATGAAACTGGGAATGTATATTAGGGAAAATAATTTAAAGTAGTGTTTCTCAGCTCTTTAATGATCATGAACCCTTTTGCCATGTTAGGCTGTAATAATGCTAGAGTGTTACCAGCATCCTTTTAAGGAATGTATGGAGTTAAGTAACCCTAAGGATCCTCAGAATACTGTTTGAAAATTTCTGTTTTCAAGAAAGGCTTACTATAGTGGGTCTTAATTTCTCTAAGGCTTCTGATAGCAGCCTTATATAGCAAATACTTCTAATTCAAAGGAAATTCAAAGGACATTTCTCCTGAATGGTCATCTAGTTATACGTTTACATCTTACAAATGAAGAAATCAAAAGCCTAGGTTTTGATATTCAACCAAGAGTTTGGTTAACCATGGACAGTGGCAAATCCAGGCATAAACTCAGAACTTTTTTGGTTTTTTTTTTTTTTTTTTTTTCCTGAGGCAGAGTCTCACTCTGTCACCCAGGCTAAAGTGCGGGGGTGTGATCTTGGCTCACTGCAACCTCTGCCTCCCAAGTTCAAGTGATTCTCCTGGCTCCGCCACCCGAGTAGCTGAGATTACAGGTGTGTGCCACCACACCCGGCTAACTTTTTGTGTTTTTAGTAGAGACAGGGTTTCACTGTGTTAGCCAGGAAGGTCTCGATCTCCTGACCTCATGATCCTCCTGCCTTGGCCTCCCAAAGTACTGGGATTATAGGCGTGAGCCACCACGCCCAGCCAACTCAGAACTTTTAATTTCCTACCTCAGTACTTCGATGGCCGTGAAAGAAATTGTTCATGGTCACTTTTCTTCATCATTCTAGATACCTTCATTCAAAAAACCAAGAAGCTCTACATTGACAGTCGTGCTCGAAGAAACCTAGGCTCCATCAACACTGAATTGCAAGATGTGCAGAGGATCATGGTGGCCAATATTGAAGAAGTGTTACAACGAGGAGAAGCACTCTCAGGTATCTAAAAGCAATAAGTCTTATGAAGAAATGGTTCTCATTCCATAGACAAGGATAGCACATTTTGCAGTGCCTTTTATGCTGTTAGATTCTACCTAGGACTGTTAAGAATTTATCTCCCAGAAGTACATTACATTACAATGCTTCCAATATGATATGTTTTTTTCCTAGCGTGATTAATTTTTGTTGAGTTGGAACAGTGTAAAGGACTCATCCATATTAGAGGCAATGATTATTTCTAAGATATTCACAAAATTCAGTAAATTATATAAACACTTGTATAAGTTAAGGGAAATGAAAAGAATGAGAGAAAATTGTCAACGATTTATTGCAGTGGTTTTTAGAGTAGCCTCTTTGGGAGACTTTACTGCTGCCACATCAATCTTTATAAAATGCCATTTTCATCAAGGCATTCCTCTCTGAAAAACTTTCAAATCTGGGACTACAAGATAAGATCCAGTCTGACTTATTTTTCCATCAGTCAGCCATTGTTATTGAGAGCTTGTTATTTGTAGGGCATTGTGCTCTATATATGGAAAATAAGGATGCAAATGTCTGTCATTCTCTAGTTCACAAACATTCTGCTGCAGCCATGCCAGCTTCTTCACTATCCTTAGTGGTCTATTCTGCCTTAATGCTGGACCTGTTCTATAAGACGTGCATAAGAACTGCCTCTTTAAAGAAGCCTTCTCTGATCCTTATAGCCTGTATCACATTAATGTCTTCTGTACTTTAAACTCCTAAAGCACTTAGTAATATAATGTTTTTGAAACATATTACATGTATGTGTGTTTACTTAATTTACCTTTATTAAATACCTAACTTACATATTAAATATATATTAATATATATTAAATATACTTTAATATATATTAAATATATTTCCATATAACATATATTTCATATATTTAAATATTTATATTAATGCAGGTAAACATATTTGGATAATTAAATATTTTTATATAATTTCATATATTTATTTTTTTGAGACAGAGTCTTGTTCTGTTGCCCAGGCTGGAGTACAGTGGCACGATCTTGGCTCACTGCAACCTCCACCTCCTGGGTTCAAGCAATCCTCTCACCTTATCCTCCTGAGCAGCTGGGGCTACAGGCGTGTACCACCATGCCTGGCTAATTTTTTTATTTTTTTAGTAGAGATGGGGTTTTGCCATGCTGTCCAGGCTGATCTCAAACTCCAGGGCTCAAGCAATCCAACCACTTCAGCTTCCCAAAGTGCTGGGATTACAGGCATGAGCCACCACACCCAGCCCTTCATATAATTTTAAAAGTGTAGGTAATTAGGTAAAATTAGGTTAAAAGTATATGTATATTTACCTGATATTTAAATATTACCTAAGTGTTTAATGTGGACATGTAAGCTCTTTAAATATAGTGTTTATGTATTTTATATCTGTTTCACATACTTCTTATATATCGCCCATAGTAATGGTCACAAATAGGTTCCTTAATAAGTATTTTTGAATTCAGCCATGCTATACATTCATTAGTAAATGAGTTTTCTTTTATTATGAACTACAAACTTTAACTTTTTTGTGAGTAGTGAGCAGTTATTCATTTACCTTCACACTCTTTAAATATCAAATTTCGAGTGAGTGAGTGTGTAAGTTTTTGTCATACAGACTTGCAATTCCTATATGGGATAAAGTAGACTAGCACAGGAATTTTTCTTGTATCACTCATGCAAGACTCTAAATTCCTTAAAGGCAGGGATCATGTACATTTTGATCATTGTTGTATCCTCAGCACTTCACAGGGTGCCTGTAACATAAATATTTGTTAAATGACTTCTCTAAGCAATAGCTTTATCTTTATGTTATCCTGTATTTCAAAATGTTCATATATAAATTCTCTCAACTATGACTTGTTTCACATAGTCTAATAATTGTTCCTCTGCTGAGTTATTCTCAGCAGATTTAGATTTATTGAGCACTAACTATATACCAGGCCCTGTTCTAGGCATTCAGGATATAGCAGCAAACACAATAATTTAGAATCCCTGTCCAGTGGAGTGTATATTCTTGTAGACTCTGTAAAAAGATGCCCTGTGCATTGTCATGGTTATTTCTCAGTCCCTAACTCTTTTTTCCTGGCTAGATGTTTTTCTTACTCATGTGATCAGTTGCTAATTCAGACGTGGCTGTCATGCTTGTGTTATTAAGTAACGCCATGTTTCCCAATCAAAACCAGTCTCTATTAAGCAACCCCAAATATTCCAAAAGCATTCTTTAAGGAAGAAACAATCAGATTGCAAAATAGTTTTTCTGAAATTTAAAGAAGTGAAAAGTTTGATCAGAATTTATTATGTCAAATGGAGAGTTTGTGTTTATTATTCAAATATGCCCTATATTTTAATCTGGTCTAGCTTGTGTCTATCTGGCTATTTCTCTAAGTGCTTAGTTAACTGTTATAAGAAGATAACACTACAAATGCCCTTGGGGGTGAAAAAACTTGCCAGAAAATACTAAAAAGCTTAATTTACTTGGGTTTTTTTGGTAGTACTTCTTATTGTATTTTAGTTACAACTTTCCTGTGTCTATTGAAATATAAATCCTGATAGCTACTTCATAGTAGTCTTTACTTTGTGGTTTAGCAGTCATCATTGAAATATAGCTTAAGACTGTGTTTGGTTAGTTGAATTTTCTGATTATCTGAGTTTGTTTTACATAGATTATCATTATTGTTTTTCAAAATATAAGAGAATATGATTCAGACCATTAGAAGATTATGAAGATAGTAATTATTAACATGTAACAATTATTATAATTTATCATGTGTAGGCACTGTTGCTCACTTTACAGGCAATCTCATGTACATACAACCTTATGACATAGTTACTATTATTATCCCCATTTTATAGATGAAGAAACTAGGTTTTAAATCGGTTACATGTCTTGACCAATGTCACATAACTAGTACAGGTGATATCTGCACCAAAGAGTCTGAGGCCAGAACCTGCACTTCTAACCACCTTACTATATAGCCTCAAAAATTCAGACATAATCTGATCTGATAATTTTAAACTGTATTATAGATTTTACAGTGTTTCAGGATCATCAATTAGTATATGCAATGTTAGTCTTAAAAATAAAAATGATGATTTAAGATTCATGGTTGTTGCAATGCTGCTCATTTTGGTTATTTTTAATGCCTTAATACTTTTGGCAAAATACTTCCAGGGACTAATTAATGTTTTCCTTTTTTCCTCTTTGACAGCATTGGATTCAAAGGCTAACAATTTGTCCAGTCTGTCCAAGAAATACCGCCAGGATGCGAAGTACTTGAACATGCGTTCCACTTATGCCAAACTTGCAGCAGTAGCTGTATTTTTCATCATGTTAATAGTGTATGTCCGATTCTGGTGGCTGTGAAATAATGAATACAGTCACTGGTAAGGGAGAACCTAGAACCCAGTAGGTGTATATTTTCAGGAAACTGAGCTCACAGAGATGTGTATTAGAATCCAAGTGGAACTTCTGCCTCTAAAGACTTGAAAGAAAAGAGACGTCCTGAAAATGAAAGGTTACACCTCATTTAATGAAGCTTAACCCTATGTAGAAAGTCTGTTTCAGGGGCAGAGGCTTTCTCTGGGTGCTAAGCCATATATGTTAGGGAACAGTAGATTGTTATTTCGTTTTTTCCCTCCCAGTGCATTTTAAAAACAGCACTGACTGGGGCATTCTCATTCTCTAATGGAGCCATCAATGAGATTTAGTCAACCTGTACTAGCAACATTCTGAAATTCCTTCAAAGAAGACAGTCCTTTGGGAAGGTTTTTTTTTTTTTTTTTTGACTCTAATCAACATTCCTTTTGTTGGTGACATTTGTGATTTTCAGTAATCTGAGTTTTTGATGGCCTTTTAAACAAGACTCCAGTATGTGAAGGTTAATTGCTGTGCTCCACAGATCTTGTCTATTGGCCCCAGTAGAAAGTTAACCTTTGTTGTTTTCCTTTTATAATTTGCTTATTGCACAATTGCTTTAGGGTTAAGTGAATTATATTAAGATACCTTGAAATTATAGCACTGTTCGATTAAGAAGCTACAATGTTTCTCTCATTTACTCCTTAAACAAAAGACTTAAATTAGTTTGGGTCATTATTACTTTTATTTTGCAGCATTTGGTTTGTACTAGTGTAAGAGCAAGTATAGGATATGGATGAAGCCCCTGGCTTCATGAGAAGAAAGGAAGGCCCAGGTTATAATTACAGCTTTCTCCTGCCCCTTCTTTACTTTCTCTACCACAATTTTCTCCACTGTTTGTTTTCCTCCTGCCACAATTTGCTAACATTTAAAAAATTTTCCTGCACCTAGTAGTTTCATGTCCTGTAGACATCCTCTTAGAACATTCTCAAATTTCAAAATAAAAAATATTCATTTATGTAGTTAATTAAATTTAAAGTTTTTGCAGATCAGCTCCTCAAACTACTAAATACATTTACCTGAGAAAAAGTCTCTGAGAGCACTTCATTCCTGTTTTGGTTCATGTAAATTCTCTGAGAATGTTCTAGAGATAGATAACTCATTTATAGTGGTTTCTATTAACTAATTAAAGTACCCATGATTTTTTCCTTTTCTGCTCAGGGATGATGGGGATTTCCTTTTACCTTCTGAGGTAGAATTTTTTAATGGGGAAAATAGGCCTTTTAAATATTATC